ATATGTTGTTATTGAGTACATTTGTATACAATATACTACATAGTTCATTCATTCATACAATCCAAGCTCAACATGAATCAATTCTACATACCTGAAGTTTAATACATACAGCCGATTTCCGTTACATTCGGCTGAATACTTCGACACGTTGTCATTTGTTTTCATAAAACAATTACTACAATACAATGTATAACAAATAAATTCTCAAATCATTCATATTGTTTTCACCATATAGAAAATGTAATTAAAATTAATAGTGGAACAATTTCCGGGCCATAATATGTAATTTAGTTGGCAAAGTTATTGAATATCACATTATGTAGGTCGCACGTTCGATTTTTGATGTTTTTGATGAGATCTTACCATATTTTTTTTTACTAAAAATCATTGCTTTAATGTAAACGACTTATTAACAGAAGATTCTGAACGAATTTAGAATTCTGTAGGTTATATGTTCTAAAACCACGTCAGTACTAAATGTGACAAAAGATTGAAGATGTATAGACGTAGTGAAATAGGCTTTACTAATAACTTTAATAGGTTAATTACTCTTAACGGCGTTTTCGATAAAATTATAAGAATACAGTCATAGAAGTGGACTGTCGTGTATATAGTTTTTTTTTATAGTTTTTAGGCTTTATTGTATTTTAAGGTACAACTTTTCTTGTGCCTTATGGGTAAAATCCTGAAGGATCTTATAAGAAAATCTTTTATTTTATATTATTTTTACTTATTGTTTTGTTTTGCATTTCAGGTAAAACTTTTGCTGTACTCTATAGGTAAGTCTATTGTAGTTTGGTAAAAGGCGTGGTTCGTTGATGACACGAACACTACTTGTATATCCCAGTCCGATTTACTGATTACCCGAAGGTAAAGCTGAAGTGTAGACAAGAAAAATCTTCCCGATAAGGAAATTATACCTTAATTTTTTTTACTGTAACAAGCATAGGCATGATATATACAGCCAATAACGAATGATTAAAAACTCTTTCAAGCTTTGAGAGCATTTAAGCATGGACCATATGTTGGTTAATTTCTAGAATTAAAAAAATATATTAAAATGTATAATAGCAATAAATATATGAGTTTTGTATACAGGATGTGGCATTACGTAAGGTCAGTCAGTAATTTCATAAATATATTTAGCAGAGAAGTGGGTGATGTGTTATGTAAATATTGTTGTGGGCTGGAAGGTCTCTTACGTATTTTGAGATATATATTACTAAGATATTCGTCAGTGACCGCCATTTGTAATATTCAGTATATATTTAATGTAGTAGCTAAATTCAGCAAATTTGTTTTAATTTGTTGGTACTAATGTAATATTATTAATGTTCATGTATGTTCAGTGTCCAGTTAATACATATTTCATATCAATCAAATATTTTTAATGACGGTTTTTAATGTACAAAATATACCTGCAGTATATGTGGTATATACATGCTTCAATTATGTTATAAATTAAATAAATATACATAGTTAACAATTAATTTCTTACTGCCAAATTAATGCCAAAAAACATTATACTGAAGAAAAAAAACAACTACATATACTGTTCCAAATTAATTTAATTTTCTACGTAATATTTAACTTCAAACAGCCAATGTTATTATAACTATAAAAGCATTTACTAATATTTACGGAAATCAAATTAAGAACATAAGCCACGATAAAGCTTCTAAATTCAAATTATGACATTTGAAAATCGAACGTCTTTGAAACGTCGAATCATTTTTCAATGATCGTAATTGTATTAGTTTAAAGTTAACTGTTAGTTCAGTAACGGTGTTTCAGTGATTATCGCGTGTCGCAGATTTGTTTAACCCGCAACTTGAACCGTAAGTGTATCTTATCTTATGTGTGGCTCAAGATAGAGGAAGTCTAACTTCGGTTTAGATTGTTTATAATCATTTAGATGTCACGAATTCAAGAGCTAGAGCATTTATATTCAAATAAAGAACATAATATATATATATATATATATATATATATATATATATATATATATATATATATATATATATAATGTATATATGCTTTCATATATGATTTTGAAAGATTTACACATACCTACTTATCTTGATCTACGTCTTATCTAAACACTTCTATATCTTAAATTAAATGGAAACATATTAATGTTTTTAAATTATATCGTTTTAAAACTAATATTTCTTGTTGATTTCTAAACGAAAATTAAAAGTATTAAAAAATATATCAGTTCAGTATGACAGTGGGAACGGCAATGAATTGTTCTTAATATGATTGACATTACTATCGTTATATCTCAGATTATTTTTTTTCATGTTTATCGTTTGATCTTTGAATGTCTATTATTAAATGTAAAATCATTATATTAATTAATATACCACTTATATTGCCCCACGACTTCGTCTGTTTTTTTCGTAGTTTTTTATCTAAAATTTCGTTAAGTTACACTTAATCTTTTCTTATATATCAATAGTCAGTTACTGTAAAACATATTATATATATATATATATATATGTTATAGTATATATGTATATACATATTGTGTTTGTACCACACGGTGCGACAAACTAACGGTCATCAAATTGCGTATCAGCAATTGACTGTAGCTCGTGCTGTATGTGAGAGACAACTTAATACAGATATGATAATAATACTCACATAAGTACTGTTTAAAATGTTTCACTTCCCCACTATATATATATATATATATATATATATATATATAAGAAATAATTGTCATTGTAAAACAAACATAAACTAGCTAATAGCTATTAAATTAATCATAAATTTAAACGTATTTTATATATAACTGTTGGCAAATTTCAGTAAGGCGGGAAATAAAATGTTTTTATTAGATATTTAATTTTTTTATATCTTATGAATTTTTTATATTATCCAAATTTTAATAAATATAAGTCGTAAAGATGCACTTATTTAGTTACTTATCTTATTAAATTTTCGTTTGTTTCTATATACGTAAAACTGAGTTTTTCAAATCGGAATGTTATCCGGTCGGGATTAGGTAGATATAAAATAATAAAAAACTTTATAATTATTTATTCATTTCAATATCGCTTATATTATAATTTATATAGTTTCGTATATAAATAATTTCTTTTGAAACCAGTTGACAATGTAATTTCGATATACAAATACCTAAATCAAAATTAAAAACTATGAAATATAATTCCTACAACTATAATCAATACACTATAGAGGCAAACCAAAAGTTCTTCCGAATGAATAAAAACCTCTATGTTATATATAATCTTCTTCTTCTTCTACCTGGCAACTTCCCAGGTTTAGCCAGGGTCTGCCTTTCATGTTGTGATCAGTTTTGGCTAATTGTTTTTACGACCGGCCCGCCTGCCTGACATCAACCATTTTTGGAAATGCATTAATCAGTGATGTCTAAATATTCTTAGAAAGACTACATATGTACATGCATTCTACATATGACTCGGAATAATCACATTGGTACTTGCCAGGATGGAACCCGCAGCCTCGTGCATGAGAGGCAGGCCTTTTAACCACTAGGCCACCACTGACTTAATGTTCTATGTTATATATAATATGTAAATCATATTATATATTATATGTTATTTAAAAATATTAAATAAACATCATAAATACATATCTCGTCTCATTATGTACTTACAATCGCAATGATCACATACAACAACAACACAAGTATGTCGCTTCAACTAAAACGCAGCATCCTTTCTACGCTCGAGGCGAGATTTCTCCCACGATTTACGAAAAATAATATTATACTATGAGATTTTGAAGAGAAATTCTTGAAGAAGAGATTATTTAGGTAATTTTCACGATATTTTATAGGCGTTTTTTTATGTAGGAATAATATGTTAAAGTTTTGTTACCAGACATTAAATTTAAAAGGAAATATTTGTATATATAGCAGAACATTATAATTAATATTCGTATTATATATAATTTTATGTACGTCAAGAATTTTAATCATATATAATCATTAGTTTTCATTAAAAAAATTCAAACATTTTATCCACATACTAAACTTAATCTGGCTTATATTTATACAAATATTCTATACAAGGTAAGCGCCTAGTATTATAATATACAAATTTATAGCTTGAAAATATACCCTAGTAATTTATACCTCTTTTAGTTATAAATATAATTCTAATCGACTTCCTCGGGTAAGTAGGGGTTTTTACTACAAACTGTTGGTTTTTAGTTACGATGGTTAAATTCCATAATTAAGTTACTGATTCAATGTAATCTACATAAGAATTGAACTGCAGTGTAACCAAAGAATACTTAATATTTCATTCATCATAATATTTAGCGGTAATGCTATAACTAAATAATGGAGTTAAAATATTCGACGACATGTTTCACATATAATGTTTTATTGTTAATAAAGTTCTTGTCGAGAATCAATGTACGAGGATGTTGAAAATTGCCACAAACTTGACTCGTTGCATGCCACAATTTTGCCACAAAAACTAAGCTGCCACGAAATAATTTTTGTGGCAGCTCAGTAAGTTATGTTTAACCTGATGAGTTCTACATTTATCTGGTTCGCAAGATTCAGATTATCTTGATCGCTGGCTTCAATGACATTTGGACCGAAACGAAATGAATTAAATAAGTGACCCTAAATATGTAGTAAATATAGAAAATTGGGATCATAAAATAAAAACGGATATATTTTTTACTATTTTTATTAACTGAATAACATATTATTAATAAAATATAATATAATTCAATAGAAATATTCATATGAATACAAATTAAAACAATTGGTATGATATAAAGTCGAATTGTGAATAGTTATTATGGAAATAATAACTACTTACTTCTGTTATTGTTTACTATAAACTAAAACTACAGTTGGAAGTAGAGTTCCTTTAACATATAATCATTAAATTTTACAATAACTTACTTGAAAAACCCAAAAGAAATCTTAATATTTATATTAAAAAGTGAAAAGCTAATCTTCAACACTTAACAGGCAAGTATAAAAGTGGTTATGATTTTACCTCGCTACAAGTACAGTCGTCGCAAACCTTCATACCCCCTTTTCCATCAGTACAGACGCAGATGCAAGCCTTCCCTCCAGTTGGAACACACTCGCATCCAGACTTTTCGCAAGTGTTGTTACAGTTACAATCGTCACAGCGAATTATTTTCCCTTCCTTATCAGTGCAAAGACACACACAAGCTTTTCCACCAGTTGGAATGCACTCGCACCCTGCCTTGTCACACTTGGGGCCTTCTCCGCTACAAGTACAATCCCCACAGACCTTAAAGCCTCCTTTTCCATCAGTACACACGCAGATGCAAGCCTTCCCTCCAGTTGGAACACACTCGCAACCAGACTTATCGCAAGTGTTGTTACACTTACAATCATCGCAACGAATTATCTTCCCTTCCTTATCAGTGCAAAGACACACACAAGCTTTTCCACCAGTTGGAATGCACTCGCACCCTGCCTTGTCACACTTGGGGCCTTCTCCGCTGCAAGTACAGTCGTCACAGACCTTCAAGCCTCCTTTTCCATCAGTACACACGCAGATGCAAGCCTTCCCTCCAGTTGGAACACACTCGCAACCAGACTTATCGCAAGTGTTGTTACACTTACAATCATCGCAACGAATTATCTTCCCTTCCTTATCAGTGCAAAGACACACACAAGCTTTTCCACCAGTTGGAATGCACTCGCACCCTGCCTTGTCACACTTGGGGCCTTCACCGCTACAAGTACAGTCGTCACAGACCTTCAAGCCTCCTTTTCCATCAGTACACACGCAGATGCAAGCCTTCCCTCCAGTTGGAACACACTCGCAACCAGACTTATCGCAAGTGTTGTTACACTTACAATCATCGCAACGAATTATCTTCCCTTCCTTATCAGTGCAAAGACACACACAAGCTTTTCCACCAGTTGGAATGCACTCGCACCCTGCCTTGTCACACTTGGGGCCTTCACCGCTACAAGTACAGTCGTCACAGACCTTCAAGCCTCCTTTTCCATCAGTACACACGCAGATGCAAGCCTTCCCTCCAGTCGGAACACACTTGCAACCAGACTTATCGCAAGTGTTGTTACACTTACAATCATCGCAACGAATTATCTTCCCTTCCTTATCAGTGCAAAGACACACACAAGCTTTTCCACCAGTTGGAATGCACTCGCACCCTGCCTTGTCACACTTGGGGCCTTCACCGCTACAAGTACAGTCGTCACAGACCTTCAAGCCTCCTTTTCCATCAGTACACACGCAGATGCAAGCCTTCCCTCCAGTCGGAACACACTTGCAACCAGACTTATCGCAAGTGTTGTTACACTTACAATCATCGCAACGAATTATCTTCCCTTCCTTATCAGTGCAAAGACACACACAAGCTTTTCCACCAGTTGGAATGCACTCGCACCCTGCCTTGTCACACTTGGGGCCTTCTCCGCTGCAAGTACAGTCGTCGCAAACCTTAAAGCCTCCTTTTCCATCAGTACAGACGCAGATGCAAGCCTTCCCTCCAGTCGGAACACACTCGCAACCAGATTTGTCGCAAGAGTTGTTGCACTTACAATCGTTGCAGCGAATTATCTTCCCTTCCTTGTCGGTGCAAAGACATACACAGGCCTTGCCTTCGGTTGGAATGCACTCACACCCTGGTTTATTGCATATTTTTTCGCAGCTCATCTTAGCAACGGTTTCCTTACAGCAAGACATCTTGGGAACTAAAAACTGTAATAGAGAACAAAATTTAATTTCAATTAGAATTCATCAGTTAAATTAAAAAATATTAAACACCAAATAACGTCGAATTAGACCAAGAGAGGAAAAAGAATTAGAGGAAAACGATTTCAGTTATTTTCATTAAATTTTTAAGTAATAAACTATATTATGTTAAATTCTCATAAAAAAACATCACTGCTTTCACATACATTGCTACATAATTAGTAAAATTAACTATAATTTTACACATCTTTTTTAATTATAGTTTTGTTAACTAAAAATATTTCGTATCGATACAAATACTTCGATTAGAACTACAGTGATTAATTAAGCACTTAATAGCGTGTGATATTTGACAAACAAGACATGGTAAGTAACAATAATATTAATATAAATATAGATATAGATATGAACAGTATAATACTCACGTTTTGTCGTGTGTCAGTGACGAAATACCAGCCAATGATAAGAGATAACGCCGGCTTTGTTTTTATACGTACATATTATACTGTCGTGTGCAAAACGTCTCAGTGCCGTGTGAGTCTTGTTGTGATTCAATGTTTTTCCAATTTACGTAATTGAAGTTATGATATACGAAAATCAGATATACTATTTATATCTTTTATTAATAGGTTGTATTATACGACTTGTATATATAAATACTGTCATTAGCAGTTATATATGTATATACTTTGAATTTGTTCGTTAAAACTTTTTTGGTTAACATTTTAAGTTATAGCAAGAAGACGTACATACAGGATAATAATAAATAAGTTATCATATCATGACTACTATAGTAGAAAATGTTATTAAAATTTTTTATTCTTTTATTTAAAAAAATCTTAGTAGAAGTCAAAAATCTATTTATTTTTATTTATTTATTTCTTATATAGTTTTTTCCTTTATGTTAACTATTGCAAACAAATGCTTATTTAGCTTTAAATATTTATATTTTTATAGTAATATATACATATGTTTCTATAAATTACGTCAGCTTTCGAGCATTATAAGGGATAAAAACTTTTGGGACTCGGGGCTTCGTAACCAAAAAACCGAATTTGACCCTAAGTGTTTGTAAAAAAATTACAATTATATCAATTATAAACATTATTCATAAATTAGATTTATTTTAAAATAAATACATAAAAGGCCATGTAAATTTCTGAATACAAGAATCAAGAATGTTTTAAATATCTAGATATCTAGAAACTTCTGGAATTTTAGTACAATCGATCATTTGCTTTATATAATTAACAAACTTAACAGGCTACCTACAGTATACGGGAAAATTCTAGAAAATGATGACGTCATACGATGATCTCGTCACACCAACAATGACGTCATGCGTTCAAAGTACGCGCTGACGCATATCTTTACTTGGTTTAGATTAATTTTGTCTTATACATACATATTTCTTTCCATATTAATTTAGCATTTTGTTACAAAGTTGCCACTACGAATTATGTATATGGTACACTAGTCTCTGCCTCCAGGTTCGTTCATTATTTGTTATTATTATATCTATCTATCTGACGTGATAGATATTCTATTCGCATATTGTCAATCTCAATTGCTTTCGGAATGTGTTTCGCTGAATTAATCTATTTGATGTTTGCAATGTCTAATGTATAAGAATATTTTATTTATATTAAAACATCCTTACTCTTTAGCAATGAATAACATTTCTAGAGCCGTGGGCGAATCTTTAAGTATTTCTCAACACTTGAAATGTTTATTGACCGACCTTGTGTTACATATTTGTTAAAATTTAAATAATTATGTTTCATTTAATGCTTCTTTAACATTTACTAATTAAATATGTTCTAGTTGTAAATTATACTCGTTATACCAATAGCATAATTGCTTTAAAATACATAACTAACTTCTAATTGAATAGCATTGAAATAAACAATAATAAAACGTGTATTTAATATTGATATATTTTAAATATAATAATACAATTTTATTAAAACTTATATGACATAAATAATATATCGTTATAGTTAGTAAAACACAATTATAATTCAAGTAAGATTAATTTACAAGCTGCTACAGCGTGGGTGATTCTGACTTGCCTTGGAATTTAGCGGACCACGGACCGAGATATCAAGATAGGAATGTACAAAATTATTCAGATTTAAATCGAAATATCAGTTATTATGTTAATAGAAGCAAAATTTATCATCGATTAGCTTGTATAATAAATATGAAATATAATAAAATTACTTTTGAAATTAAAACGATTAAATCATTGTTCGATTTGTGAATTACGATGAGTTATGATGAGTTATGTTACTCATCGTTACATAATTAACTATGTTTGACGACGATGTTAATGTTTTATTATAATACTCAGAACGTAATTCACAAACCTATTATATTTAAATGAACTTATTCAGGTAGTTGAGATAATATAGCAATATTCATATAATATACTATTAATTTAGAACAGTATCGGCAGTATAAATCCTTTTTGCTCTGTCCTTAAGTTTTTTTTTATCACTAAAGCTACTATAACATATTTTTGTCTTATTTTAAAAGGCAATTTTAATTTTACATCCGTTTCCGTACAAACCATTCGATGCAATCCTTTGCGTTACAATAAAAAGAGAAATTGCTCACGGAGAAAGTACCGTGAAGTGAACTTAGTCATTTGCATTACAAATTATAATTACACAACGGAATGTGTGCTTGCATTTGTTTTCCTTAAATTTCCTTTGTTATATCAATGAATATGTCGCTTACGTGAACACAAACAAAAATGACATAAGTGAGAGTAGTTTTTTGTACAAATAACGGATGTATACCTTAAAAACATAAAAAACAGTTTGTTTAAAACTTGAAATAAGATTAATTGAAATAAAATATATTTTGAATCTTTCTCGCCTTTTATGTGATGTAAAGGTAGGAAGATTATATAGCATAAAGTACTCAAAACATAGAAAAAAATGTATATTTATATTTAAAAAAAGTGAGTAATATCCGACAAGCACAGTTTTTTTAACGCGTACTCTTTAAAATATTTGCAATTATTATGTAGACTATAAAATTATTAAATAAAATGGGGAGTTTTAAAATAAAGTGCCAATCAAAAATAAAATGTCAATCGCTCGGAAATTCTTGTTATTTTTTTGTTTTTTTGATGGGTAAATATTATGTAAGTGTTAATCAGATTTTAATAGACTAAGAATGAATGAAAGATAAAAGCTTAATTTATGAAATAAAATATAATACAATTGAGTTTAATCTTGATCATCAAGATTTTCTAAACCTTTTTCAATTTATAGTAGAAACTCCATTATGTTACCTATAAGCTTTCGCGTTTCATTTATTATCAACTATTTGTTTTTTTTTTGCACCAATACTAGAAACCAAAGTAAGATTTTGTTATATTTTTCTTATATATCTCCTTCTACCTGGCAATTTCCCAGCTTTAGCCAGGGTCTGCCTTACATGTTGTGAATTGTTTTTACGACCGGCCGCCTGCCTGATATCAACCCTCTTTGAGAATGCATTAATTAGTGAAGTCTAAATACTCTTAGAAAGTACATAATATGACTCCTAATAATCACATCGGTACTTGCCAGGATCGAACCCTCACGCACGAGAGGCGGGCCTCTTAACCACTAGGCCACCACTGACTTGCATTTGACTGACTGACTGACTGACATTTTTCTTATATATCATAGTTACTTATTTACAAGGTCGGAGATTAACAATATTTATCAAATATTAATAAAATATTATTCATCTTCTATGAAATTCTATGACAGTTCTATGTAACACATAAAGAGCTTATTCTCATATTTTAATCCACGTCTTATTCCATCTTTATACAAAATTTAAATCCAAACACTTACTAAAGGTTTTACAAAAATATAAGATAAAAACACCAACCAACGCCGTCATAATATAACTAGGTCCATCACAGTAATGCCACCACATAATTTCGTTACAAATAAAAAGGTAACATCCCTGTAATTTAAGTACAAACTGTAATTCGTTCACAGTTATTGTAATGACGGCCTTTAAAAACCTACCAGCCAACTACTTTCAATTAGCTCGGTCTTAGAAATTCTAAATTATGAACCACTGTCCAATGTACCTGAGGCTTGGACGGTTTATAGAAACAGGAAATGCACAGAAAGATGAACCGATCGCACAGAATTATATAGTATATATTTTGACTAATCATATTTGAATAAAGTCAATACATATACTTTTTGATTGACTTTGTTCTATAAAAATATTTAGCCATTCAGACAGGTGTGATCGTAATTTCCATAGTTTTAAATAGATATATTTCATATATTAAAAGTTCAAATTGTTTACACAATTGATTTCCACTGAAATAATTTACGTGTCTGGGAATGTTTAATAGCAAGCCAAAGTCTTATACCAGACTTATTCAAGTAATTTATTAATGTTTTCTTCAATAACCAAGTAAATACATGATAATTGTAAATATAACTTTATATATGTGTATAATGTATATGTATATATTTAAATAAAGACTCGAGCTGATGCATACCTATTTAGGTGATGTTACAAAGAACAATACATTAGTAATAGTATTAGTATGCCATATGTATACAACCTCGACACATATACACAGCCTTCGTGCCTTTTATAGCAGACGTACAATTATATATACCTTAATACGAAGGTAGTAGAGTTCATTTTAGAGGACCTTAAACATAATAAGGACATAGGACATTATTTGTCATTATCATTGGATAAAAAATGCTTTGGATTTATAACAAAAAAAACTCTATCTATTTATACATATATATGTGTCTATGTGTGTGTGTGTATGTGTGTGTGTGTATAATGTTCTATATAAGTATAACATACTTTTAAGAATTTCGTCTCCCGTCAATCGTTCATATTTAATCAATTTGAGTACACCATAGATTAGAATGTAATCATTAAAGTTGTGGGTGAATACAAAACCCCTCTTTCATGGAGTCGGTTAAAGGCGTATGAATGAACCA